GGTGGGGATGGTGAGATGGAGCCTCTGTCTCTGCAGTCATGCTCAGCTGGCTGACAGTAATTACCCTGGCTTGTCCTGCTACCAGCAGCACCATGCCCAGTGTCAGCCAAGAGTTAACAAATCACGTAGGAGGAAAACAATGGGTTTCTTAAAATTAAACATACATTGAAACTGTCTGAATAATAAGGGAGCCAACGTCGCTTACTTTCCCAAAGCACTTGAATCCGTAAATTAAGGTTTGCCTAAGAGTGTGAATATTATTATTTATTTAAGAGCTCTCACATTTCTTTTCACTTCTCTTCCTCTTCCCCATCACTTGTTTGCTGGGAAGGTGCCACTTGCCTTCATGTGTGACCAAAGTGGGAGGCAACCAGAGGCTGTGGAATATAAGATTGGTTCAGAGAATGAACAGGAATGGGGAATGAGGAGTGTGGTGTCAGGGTAAGGTTAGGGGAGAGACTATAAAAAGTGTAAGGAAAGGTTAGCAGGAGGGGAATAATATTGGGTTTCTTTTGTGATTAAAAATTTCTGATGCCAAAGCATCACCAGGTCTTTGTTTTGGAGATTATTTTTTAATGAATTATCTTAACCTTTAGTTAAACCTTTTAGTTATACACTCCAGACAAGAAGTGAAAGTTTAAAACAGCTATGATAAGCAAAGTTTAAAAATTTATCTGGGATTTAATAGTAAAAGCAAATTACATGATCCAGCTTTTTAGCATTCTTGCTGCAATCAAATGCAGGCCACTGGTGGTTCTATTTTTTCATGCCCCTTTTTAGCCTGTGCCTCGTTGCCTCTGGCCATGCCTCCCCTGGGAGGGGGTCAGAAGCTGTGGGAGCTGCCCCTGCTCTGAAGCCCTCACCCCAGTGCCTGACTGCAGGCTCCAGATGAGCAGCCCCTTACACGGCAGTAAATGTTGAGAACAGTGCATCTTGTAGCAAAACATCAACTAAATAGGACGTTAAAATAAGATACTTCAGGAACAGTAAAAATAACTGTAATAAGATACTTAAATGAAAAAACATAGCTATCATGGAAAACGTCAACAAAATAACTCCCTTAACTCGTGTCTGAGGATACATTTGTACTGACAGAAAAATTTGAGACATGGTGGTAATGAGAATAAACTCATTCTATGCTGAAGGAACTGCTCAGTTGTTGTAAGACCAAAAGAGATTTTCTTTTTCCTTGCAAACACTTCTATCTGTCTAAAATTGTTTGCCATATAATTGCTTCATAAAAAATATTTCCCTGGTGTTTAAATATTTATTTTCCTTTGTATGGTTGAAAGCCCTTCCTGTAGGTTTTCTCTTTGTGACTCCTTTGGTTCACATTTTATTTCCCCCTTCCATTCCTGGCATTGGTTCTGTTGAATACTGTCTCTTTATGACTTTATTCATTACTCAGTTCTGGAAGTATGTTAACTGCTGTAACTCCATTAATTTTTTTTGCATATCATTCATGTTAAATTAAATACACAGCATTGTAATAGAGAACCCTGTGATAGGATCCATTTTCTTTATACATGAAATTAGGGGTTTTCTTATGCCTGTCGAAGTAGACTTAGGAGTTATTCTTTACTATTCTCAACTATAGCAGAAATACTGGGAAAAAAAAGCTCTGAGTATGTATTGCAGTAATAGGCAGAAGAGTGCAGGGTAGCTAAAAGCCAATGATTGCCTTCAAAGAAAAATTTACACTTCTTAATGGAAAATAAATTAATTAGTGAACAGCAGAGTTGTAGCACTTACCCTCTGTTACAAAATCAAAGCATCCTATATAATGTCGGGGTCAAAGTCTGCTACAAGCATTGTTTCAAATAAATACCCAGCTGTACCACTCTGGAAGTTCATACTCAAAAAACACATCTGACTGGGTGTTTCCATTAATAAGGTTCACTGCTAAAATGTTTATAGGAAGAATACTTTTCAGACAATACATAAAGCCAGGACTTAAATTTTTCCAGGTAACTGCACAAAGAAGGAAAATGTTTTTCAGCTGAATGGGCGTAAGTCCTTAACCAAATAACTCTTCAGGCTACAATTCCTATTGAAATCAGCACTGGCCTCTCTCTTTATGATCAGGGCTTTGTGTTTCATATATCTGGAAGAGGGATTTACACTCATGTTGTTCCCAAATATAGACAACTAGATTTGGTCAAGGTTTCTGAACAAGAGAAAATAGACACTTCTGTTTCCAAATGATGGAAACAATTCCTGTTCTCTTCAGTAAAGAGCTATATTGCTGTTTTCTAGATTCCCACCCTTTTGAATATACATTGTTTAGGTGTGGATTCTTTGGATTGTGGAATATTAAAAATTAAATTAAAATGTAAGAGAGAGAGATTTTTCTCCTGGTGTTAGCTGAGAGCCATGCTCATGCTTGCTGTCTTTTGAAGCTGTGTCTATAAAAGAGCAAACCTCATCACATTATTATTACTGTCAGTGAATATGTATCTTGGACTGCACTGACACGCCTTTGCAGGATAAATGGCCATTTCTCTCACTTCCTTGTAATTATTTTTTGTTTTAGTTGTGACTTATGTGCACTTGGTTTGCTAAACTAGGGCTTGGGTCTTACAGATAGGATGGGGTTGACACTTGCACAGCAGGTACCCCTTTTGTGGGGGAGATCTGTAAAGCAGCTTGTGGCACAGATGTTATGTGGACATGTTTCTTTTCTGTGTCATAACTTCTTGCAACATATAACAGTGACTGGACAGAGTTCACCTCTCACAGAATTTGCACATGCTAGGAATTTTTTCTTATTCTGTGTTTAAGACATTTTCTGTGTTTGCACTTCCTGCTAAATGCTAGATTTTCACAGGTATTATTCCAAATAGCTGCAGAGTGTTCCAGCACTTTTGTTACAGGAAACCAGGACCCTTGAAATTTGCTTGCTTTCTTTACTTTATTTAGTGTTTCCTATTAAATATATGTATATTTTTAATTAAGTCAGTAGTTTCACAGTAAGCTCTGAAGTGGAAAGATAGAGCATTGCCTCACACTTCCCGAGCAGCAGCAGCAGCAGCATCATTTGAGTGTGTGCCAGCAAGCACTCTGAACTACCACTCTGACTGCCCTGGTGTTCCAGGAAGAACATCAGCTTCTCCTCTGATTTTGAATGAAGGGAAGGCTTCTGGAACAAATAACACCACCTTCATCCCTTGTGACAAACTTCTTATGAAGGCTCTTTCAGAGTGACTCTGCAGAAGATTCACCCTGGACTTCCAAACACAGACTGTAGATTGCCTGCCTTTGTGTAAATGACTATTTTTTCTTTCCTAAAGATTTATTATTTTTTAGTGCAATAGGTCTGACATAGAATTTTTGTCTTTCTAAAATGTTAACTTGGCCAGCACTTAGGATTGTGTTTAGCAAATGGAATTAGCGATGTTGGAATAAAACAGAGGACATCACCACATTCTGATTGACCCACAGGGTACTTGGGCACTTGAAATGTACACATTTCATAACTTCCCACTCAGAAGACCTGGGTTTCACAACCAGTGACTCAGAAGAAAATAAGCCATAACTCAAAGAAGTACAAGTATTCCCAATTAAAACATTCACCTGATTTCCTGCATGTTTGGCACAACTTAAAATGTACTTTTTTAGATGTAATGTTAAAGTACATTTTTGTTAAGAAAACTGAGCCTGTGAACCACCAAGGACAACCTTGGGTCCTTTTTCCATTACTTCTTTCCCCTTTTGCACAGTTCTCCACTTCACACAGAAGAGAAATTGGTTTCCTTTTCATCCTTTCCACCTCTGTGCAAGCTGCAAGAGGGGAGGGTGAGGCAGGGCTGGTGCTCCCATCCTTGGGCTGCACCATCAGCCCTGCCCAGCACGGTATGGGCAGTGGGGTCGGCACCAGCAGAGCCACCTGCAGCAGGGGAGGTGCTTGGTGGCTCTGCTGCCAGGATGTGATGCTGCACTCGGGGCTGCAGAGCTCTCCTGGCCACAGCTTATTAAACATTTCTGACGCCGACGCAGCAGAAGGGGAAGTTGTGACTCACCGCTCCAAAGGCTGGGCATCTCCAGGGGACTGAAAGGTGCAAAAAGCAAGAGTTTTACTTTACTGAGTTACTAAGTCACTAAGCTGCTGGGAGATATGACTGCACACAAGCAGACAAGGCAGATCTGCTGCTTAGATGGCTAGTTTGCAGCGTATTTTCTCAGTGTAAGTTGCCTACAGGAACAGAAAAATATCAAAGATCATAAAGCTGCAGTGCCTGATGCAGCCCCCAAATGCAGCTCCCTGTGAAGATGATCAGCACTAGGACAGACAGCAATGCTGGTGGCTGCTTTGTCTAATCTGTAGTACCACACTCTTTTATTGAATAACCCATCTCTTTATCATCTATTTGTCTTCATCTCCAGCGTTCTGAATGCGATTATCAAAGGTGTCCTTACACTTTTAAATCTACTTTGGAAGTAGAGCCACAGCCAAAATGCTAATGAGCTTGCCTTAATTGTAAACATTGAGCGCTGATAAGAATGAAACTCCATCCTCTGTTCTAAGGAGTTCTTACGTGTTTCCTACTTACACCGTTTTTATCTGATTCTCCTTCACTTCTGTTCTTAGGCAGATTAATAGGCACCTGAACAGACAAATAACAGTACTATATCTCCTTCACACTCTTTTGACAGACTTTTGAGACTGCAAAATATTTTTGGAAAATTATTATTGGAAAAAAGATTACTGAATGATCAGGCGGACAGCAATTTTTCAGGCTGGAACAATTAGTTCTCCAGCACTCACATGAGCACATTTGTAACTTGTACTTAAATGCTGATGGGACATTTTTTAGAATGTGATAAGTGTGAAATAACCCATAGTTTTATCAGTGGTGGTTGCTGCCCACTCCTGCAAAAAAAAGTTTTATTGTGATCATTAAGTTGCAGGTAGGCAGTGCCTCTGGACTGTAAAATAGGAATGTTAGTGTGCAGTGATGAAAGCAAACTTTGCTCAACACCTGTCTATATATATTGCAGGTTTCAGTGGCTGCCCAGTTGATCCGTTCACTCTATTGTCTCGGAATTAAGTCGTGGTAAGTAAAAGCAACTAAGACTGAGTTTTCTTTTCTTCTCTTTTGAACTTTTTAAGCTTGCAAATCTAAAGCTCTGCTTTTGCAGTTCAAGAAATAGCGAAAGGGAGGTAATAGGGGTACTGGAGTGGCAAGTGAAATGTCATCCTCTTGTTAATATTTTTACCTTGTTTTCCTTTAACTGCATCTATGTTTTAAGGAAGTGATAAAAAACATAGCTCTGAAAATAAACTGTGCTTTTTTTCTGCAATTAGCTAGGTTTATTCTTATTAAATGTGATAAAGAAATAAAATATTTTGTTAGCAGCTGCCAAAAAACCACCCCCCCCCCCCCAAAAAAAAAAGTCTATATCAAGAGAAGGTATTTGTTTAACTATTATTTGAAAAGAAGTGAGATTTTAAGTCATAGTGATCAGTGGTATTGGATAATGGAAAATGTCTAGGATATGATTAATGAAACATTGGAAGGAAATACGGTCAGTTCATGTGTTAAGCATAGATCTTCTGTAAGGGCTGTGTGCCTCACCACGGCCGTGTCAGGCTGTTCTCGATGGAAACATTTTCTTATGCTAATTTGGTTTGATGCATGGAGGTAAAAGGAATACATTAGACTCTGATGTAGTTTGCCCAACAAATGTGGCAGCAGGCAGAAATCAGCTGGTTTCTCAGTAACTTTTATTATCAGCTCTTCCATTAGATCAGTAAGTCTTTTTAACGTCTTTTTGTTTTCCTTTCTTTATTCTTTACTGTGTATTTTATCTATGGGATGGGGTAGGTCTGTACTATTTCTTTGTTGGTAGAGTTATTAATTTTCTTGGCCTTTTATTCTGAAAAAGTAATTGTTTTATTTAAATACCTACTAGGCATTTCAAGTAGCTCACTGGTATTTCCTGGCTCTGGCTCCTTGGGGGCAGTCTCCAGAGCTTTGCTTGGTTGTGAATTCAAAAATTAATCTTTGGGATTTATTCTCTCCATGCACATACGTAGATATTAGTTGTCTTTTCTAGTTTGCTTTGTGTGTTTTTTTAGTTTTGTTGTGTGTTAGATTCAGGCTTGTGAGCAATGAGTCTTACAGATCCATGGGAATAAAACTGAGCACAGTGTTTTTGTAGCTTTTGCATATCTCTTTCTGCCTTTACTACTGCATGAGTTGAAAGTTTACATCCCGGCTAAGCCTGCTGACTTATTCAAAGAAAAAGCCCCAAGGAAGCAGCTGGTGCCAGAGCAAAGACAAGACTTGCTCCTAGCAAGACTGAATCATTGCTGGTGTTTATTTAAGTTGTTACTGCTTCTGCTGCACCTGGGGCTTTGTGGCTTCCATGGAACTGGTTCTGGGGCAAAACTATCAGCTGATGCAAAGCTACTGAAAGAATTTGTGCTGGCTCAGAAGCTTTCTTTTCCTGTCTCTACATAATGTGCTTCTATGCTGCAAGTGGTACATTTTGAGAGCAAAAAGACAATTATTTCTTCAAGAAAGTCTGGCATATAGCTTGGTATTTATTCCTCTGAAGTATGTGTGATAAATATTCATATTTACTAAGTCATATATTTGGATACCAAGCTAATGGTATCCAAAGCTAATAAATCCCTTTTTAAGATAAAAACTTTAGTGCTGTGGTGAATGATAAGGAAGTGAGGTACTTTAGTAGAAAAGCTGAGACAGAAGGAGGGAATGAGAGGGAGAGAGAATGGGGAAAGCCTGAACCCAAAATCTGATATGGAGCTGCTTAAGCAGCCTGTAGGTGCATGTTTGGTCACGTTGGTGGTTGTAGTTATTATCAGTTAGTTTTGAAAATACTTCTCTTTCCTTCAGTACTTTTTATTTTATCTTGTTTTGACTGGGTCTGTTCCCCAGGAGTGAGATTTCTTTAAGGCTTGCTGCTGCTCCATAGTTCTTGTGTGAGGCACAATGTGGCTCACCTTTGGGTGAGCTGTCATGGATGGAGAGATACGAACAATGCTGGCTGGGCACACACAGAGGGTAGCTCATTTAGCTGTGTTAATTCCAGCAAAACAAACAGATTGGCAGCTGTTTCTGATTTAGAACTGCAAAGCACAGAGAGTGCAGCTCTGCAACACAGGCAAAGCTGTTACAGCCCGTGAGTCACTGAGGAATGCAATATAGGGCAGCTGCATGACACCTAGTGTTGCTCAGATAATTTCCCCAGAGACTTTAACTCTTTGAAATGCTGTAATGAGGGAGTATGGACATAAAAACCACAGGAGCCCACTTTGGCTCTGAGTTTTTCTCTCTCACATTTTCAGAATTTGAAGGCCATTGATTTTTCCCATCTATCTCCCTCTTAGAAGGGAGAGGGTTCAGTTTCTTTTGAAGTTAGAAAGGATGTCACACATGGTTAGCATTTTCCAAAGGCAAGGAAAGATTATACTCACGACGAAAGAAGCACACACGATGGTGTGAGAGGATTTGCCACGAGGTTCACTGAAACGGGCTGGATTACACCTTGCCCAGGCATTGGTTTTCAGCCCTTTGCAATATGCATAGCACATTGTGACCTGCCACCTTCCGGAGGAAATCAGCTCCCGTTTCAGCACCGCTCCCAGCAGGTGGATATCCAAAGCACCAATGCCTGTCCTGACGTGAGCTCCGTGACTTCACCCTGGCTGCAGGCACCCTGCCCGCTGTCCTGCCAGCCAAGGCAGGAGCCAGATGCGTGGCACTGAGGCACCTGGGGTTGGGCAGAGCTCATCCCTCCAGTGCCTCATCCAGCAATTGTGGCTCTCCTGCCTTTGGACCTGGACCGGTGCGTCCAGCTGAGCACAGCAAGTTGCTGCAGTGTGCATTGTCATTGGCCCTCTCTCTAACATGTTCCTTTGCATGTGTCTGTCTTTGGTGCTCACAGGTAAACCACTATTAGGGTTTTCATTGTCACTGGTATCTTGCGTCAGCGGTGCTGTTCCTTTCTGCCACAGCTGACGTCAGCCTCTGCAAAGGCGCGTGAGAGCAGCCAGGCAGCGACGCGGTCGCTCGGCCACCCCGCTGCCCTGCTCCTCCACAGCACACTGGCTGGCCTCTGAGTGTGTTCTCAAGGTGCTAATGTCTGTATCTGGGCCAAGAAAAAATTCTTTAAAGGGAAAGCTGTAGAATGTAGATTATCTTTGTAGCACAGCGGTTAATTAACAGTAAGTAGCTGTGGCTAGGACTCCAGCAGAGAGTATCAGGTGTCTCTCCACTATCTTCTCAGCTATTCCTCTTAACAAGAGCTGGGATCTGGGAAAGCTGACAACTATGGGAGGACTTCAAGGGTATACATGGTTCTGCTAGCATCAGTCATTAATACCACTCACACAGCATGGGCCATTCTAGTAATGCCTCTGCAAACCCAAATGCTCAAGGCAAATGCTGTGAAGGTCTCCAGTATTCAATTCTACCTTCTCAAATCAGAGGTTGGCTAGGGCTCATATGAATGACTTTATATACATACCTATAAAAACTTCCTCTACAGAGGTGATTAACTGTCATTCTATGATGTTTAATCACGTAAAGCAAAAACAATAATAATACGTGACGTACCTGTGGGCTCCTGAGCACCTCATGAACATGGGAGATGCTCATTATGGAAAAATGCTCTGCCAAATTCTTGTTTGGAGAAACTTTATTTAGGAGACGTAGAGGCTGATTGTCTGCTGAAGTTTTCAAGCTCCAGTTTCTCCGCTGAATGCATCAGCTCAGTTTCCATGCAGTAATAATGCAGGCTGAATCCTTCATTTCCATACTAAGCGTAACAGAAGAGCTGTAGTGCTGATGGCATCTCTGGGGATGGTGGTGTCCAGCATATTCTGTGTCTCCATGGCTGGAATAAGTTGCAGCTTCACATCTGACTTTCCAATATATTTTCATGATTACATTTCACTTAAGAATCACTTGTGCAGAGCAGTTATTTTTTAATCGCTCTTTAAATGCTGAACATATATAAATGAAACTTGTTTAACAAGATGGAGGTGTTTTTGTCTGGGTGGGGCTGGAGGTTGTTTTGGCATGGATGGAAATGCGAGAATTTGCTCCAAGCAAATGGGAATCCTTGTTGAAACAAGCAAGAATGACTTTCTTTCATCTGTTTGAAGATCTTTGTGTATCTTGGGAGCTGCTATGGGTCTTACACCACAGATAAAGAATGCGAAACGTGTAGTTTTTGCTAATGGAATTGCAGAATAACTTTTCCTGGTAATGTGAAAGAGGAGATACTCTTTTCTTTGTGGAGTGCCAGAAAACAATACCCACCTGTGTTACAGTAAGACACAAGTGATTTTGTCTGTGACTTTTCCTTCCCAGCTAAAGGAAGGAGGAGGATGTGTGGCTTACTGATGTGGGCAGGCACAAAACATTTTCGCCATCAGCTACATAAAGGATTATGATTAAATGAATGACTAATTATACTCCCAGAGAGCGACTGCTAACTGCTGGTGAACCTTGTTTATGGGAGCATGAAACCAGCTCTGGCCTTTGGAGGCACAGGGGGCACAGGGGCTCTGTGTATGAGGGGCATTGGAGGCAAATTTGCTGACCAGGGTTTCAGCCATGTGGGTGCCAGATGTGCTGCTCATGGGGCAGCTCTGACTGCAGCTCTGACTGACTTGTGGGGCAGAGAGCGTGGAAGAGACAGACCTGAAGGTGGGGCTTTCCTGGACAGGGTTCACTTCTCCCATCCTTTCCATGGAGTTTTTGGATGGGCTGGCTGATGCCACCCGGTCTGTTAAGGCAATATTGTGGCCCATATTGGCTCCTATTTCCATAGTCACTTCCCCCTTTCATATCTCTGCCTCTGGCTTCCAATACTGGTGAAGTAAATAGGGAGGACTTTTCCAATCTTGGCTTCCTCTTGTGCCTGGACCAGGTCTGCCATGTGTGCTTGCACCCATGCTGGCAGGATCTGGACATGTGATGTCTCACTTTTTAAGTTATTATTCAGTAATAATAGAGTGCATTCAAATGTGCCCAGAAAGGGGTCAGGGAGGAAGAGGTTCAGAGAGAGAGCCTGTGTGAGATGGGTGAGCTGGACCTTGCTGCTTCCAGCTCAGCTCCATTTGCAGCATCAGCTGTGACTTACAGGCAAATACAGACCTGCAAATGGCCCCTCTCTCTCATTGTCCTCTTCTCTGGGCTCTTCTTCCACCTTGTCCAGGATTCTCCTCTTTGTGTTTCCATGGCAATGAACCAGTAAAGGCAACAAGGCATTGTGTTATCATTCACAACCCAAACTTAGCAGTGCTTTAGGGAGGAATTTTTTTGCTAAAACATTTCTATGTAATGAATTACAAGGTAAAGGTCTGTGTATTGAATTACCAGGAGGTTGCTTAAATCCGGAAGGTGGAAGAAAATAAAACAATTCTCTGACTTCTTGTTGAAAGGAGTTAAAATTAATTAAAGAGAAGAAATGCCTACCTTTTGGAAAGCAGAGGAATATTTGCTTTAATGACAGTTAAAAGTGTATGAAAATATAGATGTGAGATTAAAATATATATAATTTTTAATTGTGTACACAAATAAATAAACTGTGATTAAAAAAATTGAGAAATCAATTTTTCAAGTAGAAGAATAACTCATAAAGTTTAGCAAAAATTTGTGTTCAAGGGAAAATTGCTTCTATTTAATTTTCATCTCCTGTGCTCTTTATCCTTATCATATTTCTCACATGCACTCTTATAAGGTGAATATTTTGACTGCACTTGCATTTCAATCAACACTACTTTGTTAGTCACAGATCATGGCTCCCTGGCCGGAGGTAGAAAAGCCTGAAACCAACAACTATATTGGGGACTCTTCCAAACAAAACCAGAACATGGCTGGGAAAGAAGGAGAAAATCACAAAGGTACTGTGCTCACTCTGAGTTATAAAAAATAGATAGGATTTGGGGATCCTTGGAGAAGATGGAAAGTAATTAAACAATTTTTTAAATGTTCTATTTCATCAGGCAACGTGGCTTCACTTGGAAATAAAGGGGAAATTCAACCTGCATTTTCCACAGTAGCTTTGATAGATGAGACAAGACCAGAAGAAGAAGACCCGTGGGCTCTGCCAGAACTGCAGGACACCGGGGTCAAGTGGTCAGGTAGCCACTTCTCTGTAAATAACTTACCTACATTGTTTTCCCATCGCTTGTCTCATGTTCTTCAAGAGTTAATGGGTTTATAATATTCAGTCAGCCAAGAAAAATCCCAAAATCATGCTTCTTAGCCTCCTTAAAACATGAGAAGGTAAATGAAAAACAGTCCAACACTAATACAGTTTTATATCCAGGCAGCTGTTGGTCTTTTTTTACTCAGAAGGATGACTATAAAACCAAAGGTCAATGTCAGATTTCATAAGGCTTTTGTCACATACCAAAAAGATTTTTTGTGGTAAAAGTAGGCAAACAAAATACCTGCTTCTGCAGTTAAAATGTGATTAAGAACATTCTTTTGGGTTTAATCACACACTGGAGCCATGTCACTGTCTTTGTCCCCACTGTCTCTGTTTGTGCACTAGAGTATTCCAGAGAAAAATTCAAATGATTCTTTCATACATAATGTATTTGTTTTGCAGATCTGGATACAAAAGGAAAAGTCATTCGTGTACTCTATGGGATAGGGAAGTTCATTATGCTCCTTTGCTTACTCTACATGTTTGTGTGTTCTCTGGATGTACTGAGCTCTGCTTTTCAACTGGTAGGAGGTATGAAAATATCTAAAATATCAAGAATAAATTAATGAGGCAGTAAATTTTGTCTGAGATGCTTAATTACAACTACCACTCTTCAAGAACATTCTTCATGTGTGATGAGACACAGATTGAGAAGGAAGCAGCTCTGATTAAACACTGACCTTCAGTTGTTTGAAAGGGTCTTTCTGTCTCAAATTCCAAAGAGCTGATGTAGGGTTATTGGCCCCAATTTCCCAGTAGCTTCCCATTACTTTAGTGACAGTTTAAAAAAATACATCTGTACATAAATCTGTCCCATGTGAAAGACATTTCAACAAGGTGTAATACGAAAATTGTGCTCTTGACCAAAGCATCTCACACTGAAATGTCCCCCAAATCCTTCAAAAGATGAAAACTATTGAAATGTATTTTTTACATTTACCTTGAAGTGTTGAATTCAGGTGATGGACTCAGGAGTGGTTATCAGATAAGTATGTGCACTTCTGTTGAAGTATTTTGCAAACACAGAAAGGTACAGGAACTGAATTAATCAGTATTATAAAAGCATTTCCCTTAATTCAGTATCAAAAAATACCAAGTAATTACATTTAAATCAATGGGTGGTCTTTTGTCCTACAGTCTTTCTGCTGATGGCTGTGGCATTATATACTTCTCTGCAGAGTTCAGCAGGGCTTATAGTCACTGAAATGAGAGAATATAAAGTATCCTCTAAAATCTGAGAAGCTGAGAGTCCAGGACATGAATCTGGATCCCTGGGCTACACGGTACTTTTTGGGATAAAAAATATGATTATATATGTATCAATTAAATGGCTGAATGATCTTGAATTAAACACTGACTTTCCCTTGTACTTCCCTCACTCTGTGAATATGGATTTTTTATAGGTAAAGCCGCAGGGGACATATTTAAAGATGATTCAGTGCTCTCGAATCCTGTTGCGGGACTGGTGATCGGAGTTCTGGTGACTGTGATGGTCCAGAGTTCCAGCACCTCCTCATCCATCATAGTCAGCATGGTGTCCTCCACATGTGAGTCTGCTCACAGAATCTTCCTAGAGATCACTCATAAACCTTGTCTCAGGTGCCAACATTCCCACTTGTGTTCCAATTGTAGAAGCTTTGGGTAAAAAGAATAGAGACTATAGGAAAAGTTTTTCACAGCTGTTTCCCTGATATAAAATCAGATTTTAAAAAGGAATCATAATGGTATTAATACTAGTAGTAGCAATAGTAGTAGTAGTACTAGTAATAATAATAAAACCACAATTGCAAGGAAAATCATTGGAAGCCTTGGCACTGAATGACTTAATTTTGGAATTATCTGCATTGTTTGTCATGTTAGGCAGTTACTGAACTGCATTTTTTTCTGTGACATCATTTCAAAATTCTGCAGTAAGTAGGAAAATGCCTGGGAAAGAAGAGACCTTATTTTCATCTGTACCTCTAACATGTGATGAAAATGGATAACCATGGGCCATAGTGTCAGTGGGGATTATGGGACTATGGGAGTGCCATGTTCCCAGGGGGCTTGATCAAAGCAAACCTGTTTGGATTGAAGCAGATCATTACACTGACATCAAGGGAAGTCAGGGTTTCACTGATAGCAATAGAAGTTTTCATTGAAGCATAGAGCTTGCTGATAATATGATTTTCTTTTGATTTTTTTTTGATTTTTTTTTCATCCATTGTTTCCTTTTCTGTTTCCCAGTGCTGACTGTTAGAGCAGCTATTCCTATCATCATGGGAGCAAACATTGGCACCTCAGTTACAAACACAATTGTGGCACTTATGCAAGCTGGGGACAGGAATGAATTTAGAAGGTATTGTACTTAAACTTTGGATCTGGAAAATTGTTTCCTTCATTTTTGTAGGTCTTCTTCTATATTCCCTATCACTACTACAGCCACTCAACCTTTCTAGATAGGAAAGTCACAAGCATGGCCATGGCAAAGGTATAAAGCTGCCTACATGTATGGCCTTATATGCTTGGAAAAAAACTATATCATGTTCCTTTAAAATTTTTGTGGGTTTGTAAGAATTCACCTTTCTTAATGATCTTACACAGGAATAAATTTTCAAGTGCTCTCACTATACCACCCACCTTTTATTATGTGCCAGCTATGGGAGGGCTGTACAAGAAGTTAGTATTACATAAGTTTGGTCTGGTTTCCTTAAAAGAGATTTCAATGTTGAAGTCTGCAGAAAACCAGAGCTGGTAACTGTAAAGAAATGAAATGTTCTGGCTGTCTGATGTATACAGTGACATCTTTTAGACTGACACTTGACATTGCCACTGAGAGAGCTCATGGAGCACTTGGAGGCTCACTGGAGTTGGGCAGTACACTTGGGAGTGATAGGAGACTGTGGTACCTTGTCATTTCTGCACTGGGCATATTGAAATACTCTTGGCCAAAGCCTCTGAGGGATGAGCTGTGGCTCCTCAGGCTTTGGAGGAGAAGATTGAAGGGACCTGTACAGCAACAGTTTGCAGAAACATGTGGGAGAGCTGCAGAGCCCTCTTGCCCCAGGAGTCAGGGAGAACTGGTCCTGGAGGCAATGACTGGCTGAGGATTAAAAATGTACTAAAAACAGGTGAGAGGCAAAACAAACACAGGCTGTACAGCCACTTCTTTCTTCAAAAAAGTACTCTTGGCAGCCTCATGCTATGGATCACTTCTGTCTTTTCTAGTTTTTCTTGTTTTACTCACCTGTCTGGCTCTTTAATTGGCCAACAGTCTGGAGACAATCTAGCACTCCATAACAAAGTAGCTATTGCATTTGACCCCAGAAATTAAATTATTCCCATCTTGAAATGCCCTTCATCTCTACTTTTATGATTTCATATCTAATTGATGTTATACACATTTTGTTTAATTAAAAGCAGCTCTGTTTTTTAATTTCTTCTTGCAGGGCCTTTGCTGGGGCAACAATCCATGATTTCTTTAACTGGCTGGCTGTGTTTGCACTGTTACCTGTTGAAGTCATTACTGGCTATCTCTTCCATCTCACCAATGTTATAGTTGAGTCTTTTCAACTTGAAAGTGGTGAGGATGCTCCAGAGCTACTAAAAGTTATCACAGACCCCTTTACAAAGCTCATCATTGAGGTAAGCTCTTTCTCACTTCAAGGAAGCTGCCTACCTGATTCAGTCAAATCAAAATGCTCTGAATATGAGAAGGCTTCCAATCCCATCTCTGTGTTCTTGGGGGTAAAGTTCATTAACAGATGGATTCTTCTCTTAATTCACATCTCATAAAGCCCCAGTTCTACGTTTCCAGTTTCTATTTCCCCCACATTTCACAGCACCAATGGCAGACAGGGGAGGAGGGCTGGGAAGGCCGGTGAGGACAAATTCAGCCATGTGGGATGGATGGGAAGGCAGACTCTTGCCTGGGCATCTGCAGGTAGCACTAGCTGAGACACAGCCAGAGGGTCAGCATGGGACCTGATGAGGACACTGAAATTATGGGACATAATCATGTGCATCTGGAGGCCAGGAGGATGCACACATCTTCTGAAAGGACAGTAAATACAGTCAGACAGTTGTGTCAGAGCAGCTGATTAAACAGAAAGGATGAGATGAGGTAGTGGATGATGTGGGGAGAATGAGACAAAGCATTTGTTCATGCACAGTTGTACCTTTTTTTCTGGGAGTAACCCCCCTCCTACCTGTTGGGCAGGAGTTCCAGCATTGGAGTCATGCAGATTTTATATGGTTGAGCTTCCAAGGGGGGTTTATTTGAGTAGAGCTGAACAGAAGTATGTGATACAAACTGAAAATAAAGCATTTTTTAAAAATTCTTTTTATTCTTCCTTTTAAGCTTGATAAATCAGTAATAAATGCAATTGCCATGAACGATGAATCAGCAAAAAACAAAAGCCTGGTAAAGATCTGGTGTGTGACTGAAACCAATGTGGTGAGTATCATGTTAAATTAATTGTCAGGTACCTCAGGAAATATATTACTGATCTGTAGCTGATGCTCCTTATCACAAGATTGTGAAATAAGATTTTTTAACGAGGGTGGGGTTTTTATCAGCAGAAAAAGAATGAAAAAAATTTAATGCAGTTTCTGCTCCACTTAAACCAAGCTTGGTCACCAGTGGTGACCTTGACCTGGCTGCTTTCAGTACTGTGCAGGCCCTTGCCTATCAGAGCTGGTGGATTGGTGCCAAGCCTTCTACTCCTCTCAAACCCAAATGCCTTTAAACCCTGATAGTCTTCCAACTCCCTGAAAGTGGAAAAAGTCTGCGCCACAGGCCAGAGGAAAGATCGTTTCAACCCCCGTTTATCTGCTGATCTAATCAGCTCCAGTCTGACGTGTGTTGGGGTGATCTGGTGGCAGCTGGCTGTTTGCAGCCCTCTTGGAAAAGTGCCCTTGGAGAAAGGCTCCGTGGGGCTGTGTCCTGCTCCTCCCCACCCAAGCAGCCCTGCAGCTCGGAGGAATCTCTTGCCCACACCAACACCCATGAGTGTTTTGGCAAACTATGGAGCTGAGTGTTTGGTTTGCATCGTTCAGCTAACCAGCAATTACAGCATTAAATTCTTTGATTCTCTAATTAGACTATTCTACCTGCTGGCACGTATAGAAAAGTAATTCCTGAAGTCCTGAGGCAGAAGATGCTTAAGGAGTCCTTAAGTATTTCAACCTCCACAGGCCGTGGAGGTTGAACTTGGGTGCTCAGCTGCTATTGAGCGGCGCTGTGGCTGGGCAGTGAAACGCTGCCTGGGAGATGGATGGGGCAGAGCTGTGCTCCCCTGAACCCGCTGGGGTTACAGCCCCGGCCGTGCCTGCGGCTGCCGAGCCCGGCCCGCTGCCCCTCGCTGCCCCCCAGGCACAGCCCCGAGCCCCGAGCCCTGCACAGCGCAAGAAACTGCTCGGAAAGTGCAGGGAAATGTTCATTTCTAGACACGCTTTATTCTGTGTTGCCTGCATTTGGCTGTGTACCTACTGTTCAAGCTTACAGTCAAATTACAAAACATGTGAAACCCCCAAAATTTTGATTTGAAAAAGGAAAATAATTTAAATCATTGCATTCCTGTGAACTTGTTCACAGGGGTCCAAGGATGAGGGAAGAGACAAGGATCTGACTCCATGTTTCAGAAGGCTTGATTTATTATTTTATGATATAACTTATATTAAAACGATACTAAAAGAATAGAAGAAAGGATTTCATCAGAAGGCTAGCTAAGAATAGAAAAAAAAGGAATGAATAACAAAGGCTTGTGGCTCGGACAGAGTCTGAGCCAGCTGACTGTGATTGGCCATTAATTAGAAACAACCACGTGGGACCAATCTCAGATCCAGCAGATAACCATTGTTTATATTTTGTTCCTGAGGCCTCTCAGCTTCTCAGGAGGAAAAATCCTAAAGAAAAGATTTTTCAGAAAATATCATGGCTACACATTCCTACTGGGTTAAACTAATTTCTAGCAAAAATTATTAAACAGACTCATGGCCAGGATAAATACATGCAGACCCCTTATGCTTAAAGCAAAACAAACATTTTGATCTAGTGAAGCTGCTTTGAAATGAAGATGTTTGAAAAAACTTCAAGAAGGTGAGAAAAAAGACTGTGTTGAGTTTGTAAAGGTTTACCAGGTATGGGGTGCCTGGAGCCCAGGTGCTCCCTGGAGTTGTGGGGACACCAGATCCACTCCCAGTTTTGCCCACCTGCATCATCTGGAGAGAGGTACAAATGCAGGTGTTTGTAGGCAGTGCCCAGCAAAGAAATATGATTTCTCTTTCCCCATTTCTGCAAAAGAAAATCACTCAGGCACTTTGGAAAGACGCCTCGTGCTCAGGAGCATGGTTCAGAGTCCATTTGGCTGTCAGCTGCTCTTGTGTGGAAGTACAGCTCAGTCAGCAAGCTCTTCCTTAGTCTGCACAATGTCTTGTGGACCTGGTGTCAGAATGCAGCATGTCTGGCCTAGGAGGGCTTATAAGGAAGCTTTTATTGTGGTGTACACAGAAATTCAGTAATTTAGTAATGCTAATCATAGTGCTTGTAGTGAGCTCTTAGACAGCCCTTGAACATGAAAATTAAAGTAGGAGCAGCACTTCTGTTTCTACTGACATGGAAACTGAGGCACAGAAAATCAGCTGGAGCACTTTGTGCTCATCCAGCAAGAGAGGCTGCACTCGTGCTGCAGCATTCTGACTCAGAGTGCTGTAGTACTCATCAGACCATGAGCTGCATGGAGATGTCAGGAAAGAGGTCTTTCTTTCATCAAGAAAGCTGTGGCAGTGGCTGGAGAAGGAATGCCACTGCCCCACAGCTGCAGCCAAACATGAACCTCACTCCACAGAAACTGTCATCAGTAGTTAAGTTCCTTAGCTATTAGTGGATTGGTGCTATGGTTATTACAACATTTTGGGGCTATTTGGGGCTATTTTAATCTTTAGATGTTGTACTGATTGACTTGGGTAACAGCATAATATTTTTTTAAGAATGCAAAATGTTGCCATGCATTAATGTGATGCCAGCTTACAATTCTGACTTTTTAGCTGATGAATCTTGGTTGTAGTAATATTTGAGAATTCTACATGAGCTTTTGGTAAAGGATTGTAGATGATTGAACTCTCTGCTTTTTCTGGCAATCACAGACACTGCAGAATGTCACAATTCCACCTTCCGAAAACTGCACATCTCCTGAGTTTTGCTGGAGTGAAGGAAATACGACATGGACCCTCAAGAATATAACTGAAGTAGACTATATCACTAAATGTAAGTAGTAGAACTACTCCTGTGCAATATATTTACAGAAGTATATGGATTTCTAATGGTGCTGACAGCTCCCTTCTGAGGTGTATCCAGGAGCCCTGGCCAGTGCAGGGACACGTGGCAGTGCTGCAGGTGCTGCCTGAGGAGCCTGTGCTCTGCTGTGGCTCACAGCTGGAGTTACAGCAGCAGCACCACGGTATCTGGCTGCAGGTGGATCTCTTTCCATGCTGCCTGATACCAGCAATTGAGGTTTCAGTATCATGTCACCCTCGATGTTCAGATGGCTCAGAGCTGCGGTTACTTTGCTGTCATGGTTGCTAGGATATCCCATCCCTATGCATGCCCTGCAGGGCTCTGAACAGCCCTGCTCAGGCGTGCAGCCACCTCTGGGAAAAGCTGACCCACCGTGCAGCTTGGAGCACCCCAGCATTTTCTCCTGCCTTGGCGCTCCTCTCCCTTGCTCATGGTCACCAGGTTCCTGCCTGCCCATAGGACTGCCCGCTGTGCATTCTGTAAGCATGTCTGTAGAAGCACCTCTCCTGCCTCACTCAGACATGGCTTCTGGGGAGGAGGGAAGGTGGCATTTTCCCTCTTTGTATCAACCCCTCCAGTTGTGTTTGCTTTGGTCCAATTTTCTTAGGGGAGCGAACGAAAACCAGAGCGGGGCTTGGGATCACAGGCGAAAATGTGGGTAGGCTAATTCATTTTCCTTTTTTTTTTTTTCAGGCCAACACATCTTTGTAGACTCAGACCTGCCTGATCTTGGTATCGGGCTCATCCTTCTGGCTTTGTCCCTGCTTGTTCTCTGCTCCTGTTTGATAGCCATCGTTAAGCTATTAAACTCTGTGCTTAAAGGACAAGTGGCCAGTGTTATCAAGAAGACAATCAACACTGGTAACTATCTGCTTTTCCTGAGGATTGCTTTTAGGAATGACAAGGACACTGAGCATGTTTATTGATGTCTCCTGTTCTCTGAAAGACATAATAGAATATTTTAAAGAAAATACTATTGAATGAAAATCATGCACACTGCCCAACATTTTCTCTTTCAAGTATTTTTTTCTTTAATTTAAAAATCTATTAGTGAACAGCTTGATTGAGAAATGCAGCAGATTAACATCATTAGAGACCAAAGTCCAGGCTCTGTTTCTAGATGTATAATCATTAGCTGTTAGAAATGTAGATCTCCCATCCTCAAAAGATAGCACCGAAGTGCTGAGATTGTGATTGCCTGCTCTGGCACAGGGCCTGCATATTCCTTCTGAAGTAAGTTGAAAAAAGTATGTAGTAATTAATGATCTTATCCTGTGCTGCTGCCTAGCCTTTCTTCAGCAGGATAAGGCAGCCTTGAATGGTGGCGTTTTTCTGTCTTTCCTGTGTTGTCCAGCTGATTTTTTCAGCCTGGATCCATTGAGTGCAAATGTTACTAGGTTTTTTCACCAGGCTGCTTTTCCTTCATACTCTCTTTAATGGAGAGACTAGGAGCTGTAGCAGAGAAAAGCAGTCCTGGCACAGATCCTACGCTGTGGTTGAAGTGAGGGTGCACAGAAATAGAGAAGGCAGCAAAGTGGTCCCCAAGCTGTCTTCTCCTGGGCAAAGAACACTGCCCAAATTAAAAACAAGGGCTAGAAAGTAAACAACTGACAGCCTCTAGTTATTTAATCTGGGATCTGCTCTGTGTTCCTCCGTGTCTTCCCAGCTGATTAAATCCTCACTTCTCAGCTCTCTCCATAAATCTGCAGACTACAGGGGACATTTGTGCCTAGCTTCTCTAATCAGTGTAATTAGCTGTTCTCTGCAAGAGTTAACAAGTGCATTTTTAGGAGATAATCCACTTGGAACTAGTTAGAGCAAACAACTTGGTTCTCTCAGGATGGTGTTCAGAGCTTTCTGAAGATCTGATCCATGCAGTGGGTGCCTGGTTCCTGAAACCAAGGCTTTTAAAACACCCAGAAGGTTTTGTGTTGACCTCTGAGGAAACACTTCTGGTACCTAATTGTATCACAACACACATGCTATCCTGGGTCGGGACAAATGTCTACCTAGTCTGGAATCCATCTCAAAGTGTATCCAGTGGTGCAAGGCTGTAGAAGGCACACAGCAAACAGGATAAATCAAAGTAATGGAACTGGCCCCCAAATCATCATTTGAGACCCAATATGCAAACAATATATTTACATTTTAAGTGTTTAACAGTCTTCCCTGCTGTGTCATTGTTACATGGATCACTCTGTTATGCTAACAGCAGTGTTCTCCCTCTATTTTTTAGATTTTCCATTTCCTTTTACTTGGCTGGCTGGTTACCTGGCTATGCTCGCAGGGGCTGGTATGACCTTCGTTGTCCAAAGCAGTTCTGTTTTCACATCTGCCATTACACCCCTTGTTGGTAAGTTGTAAATACTGTGCTCTTTATCCCCATGTTTCATCTTCTCCGTTATCCTGAAGCCAACCCAGTGGTGTTTCTTTTCTCGTAGGCATTGGCGTTATAAGCATTGAGCGCTCTTACCCGCTCACCTTGGGAGCCAACATTGGCACAACCACAACAGCTATACTTGCAGCTCTGGCAAGTCCTGGGAGTACATTAAAATATTCATTACAGGTCAGTATAAAACAATGCTTTCCTGACTTCATTTAGAAGTTGTAAGTTTTCTGAAGAAAAACCTGACAAAAGGGGCCGTGATGCAAATGTGCTGTTCATGTTGTTCCTGATTTTGTCTGTGCTATTAATAACAATGCATTCACTTCAACTGCTAGAGTAAAAAGGTTGCATTAAAAATTCCCAGAATGTCAATATATAGCTAATCTTGCTTTTATAAATTCTCTTGATGTGCATGAATTGATTCAGAACTGGGACAGGGGAGGCCACTTGACCCCTGAGCATGGGGTCTTTTCTGCTTGGAGTTCAGTGCCCACATACTGAGAACCCTCTGAGGGTTATTGATTTCTGTAAGCTCTCTTCTGAGGATCCTAAGTCAGTTCATGAATTGTACAGGGACTCCTGTAAAGTAAGTGAAGGTTGCACAATCCTTAAGCTGGCAAGCTTTCTATCTACCCGATGTTGCAGTAAACATCATGGCATCTATTTTTCTCCTTGAAAACGTACTTTGACTGGGTTTTATTGGATTCCTTTTTGTCTCAAACTATTTTAAAAGTGGGAAGCCTGGCTTTGACCTCCCATTTTCCATCCAGTAAAGAACCTGGCACCAGATAACATTTGAATGAATGCTTTACAATTAAGAGTGAAAAGATTATGACGTTTCCTTGGTGAATAGGATGAATGTCTTTACTAGCTAAAATAAATCAAGAAAATTACAGAAGTCATTTTATTGTCCTCAGGCAACAGATGTAATCATGAGAAGATGCTATCTTGATAAAGCTCAGATTTCATGATAACATACTGGTTTTATAATGCCCTTTATAAATAAACACCTGTATTTTCATATTTACTTTAGTCTGATAACAGTTACAAAATTAAAATAGGATAAGGTGAGCAGGGAATGTACTGTTTTGTTCAATATATGCTTATTCTGTCTAAGTGACTCCTGTAAGCTTTAGCAAGTCTGTGCCTTTTAATGCTAATTTTTGTTTAAAAAATTTTTGAAGTATGTGAATCAAAGGATTGTAAAGACCCAAAGACAAAGTCCCCTTCCAGGAATCTCCTCAGTGCCCTATAAACTTATGGCTAATTTTTTGTAAAATCCAAGTTTGTACCATTAAAACTTTCTCTGTAGCCAGTGTGCAATATCAAATTTACGTTTCCCATGTTTTCATTGAAAATTTATGGATGCAGAACCCAATGGTTCCCACACCTTATTGACAACAGTACTGTTTCCTGAGAGCTGGAAGTAATTATGATATGGATAGGAGTATTTAATGGTGTTTTAGCTAATGAACTTCTCAAATGTTTTTTGCTTTCAGATTGCCTTGTGCCACTTTTTCTTCAATGTTTCTGGGATTATTCTGTTTTATCCGATACCTTATACCCGCCTGCCAATCCGCATGAGCAAGACCTTGGGAAATATAACAGCCCAGTACAGATGGTTTGCTATATTTTATCTTCTCCTCTGTTTCTTTCTGTTGCCTTTGTTTGTATTTGCTCTGTCACTGGCAGGCTGGGGAGTCCTTTTGGGTGTTTGCCTTCCCCTGTTTCTTCTTTTTATTGCTGTGGTTGTAATTAATGTTATGCAGAAAAGGAAGCCACATTCACTGCCTGAGAAGCTCCAAAACTGGGATTTCCTACCTGTGTGGATGCACTCCCTAGAGCCCTGGGACAATATACTTATGGCTTCCCTTGCTTTTTGTGGGAAACACTGCTGTGGCTTCTGCAAGTGTTGCAAAGTCAATGCTGAACAGGAGGGTGCCAAAGACAACCAGCTAAAAACTATGGAAGTTTATGAAAACACCATGGCAATGGCTGATGATGAAAGAGGTGGAAGAAGGGCACCAACAGTAGCTTGTGTTGACAAAACAGGCACAAACAACACAGCATTATAGTATTGGATCCATGCATATTAGCAGAGATACAGCACAGGACAGCCAGGCTCATCAAAACCACCTTGGACCTTGCACTGAGGACAGAGTGAACATTTTGTTAGGTTTCTGAAGCCAGTGATACATCACTCATCAAGGAAGGGTGTGAAAACAAGCTTGACAGAGTCCCTAGAATATCTCTGCTCAGTTCCAAAGCTAATGACAGATTTGCTCACAGAGGATCTTCTATGTGGTACCTTCCTCCAATGTTATCAGTAGCAAACAAAAGAAATCCTGATGTAGTCTCATGAAGAGAGGGATGAAAGAAGTGGCAATCAATTAAAACTTAAAAAACCCAATAAATAATGCACTTGTAGAACAGCCTTTCTGACCTACTGACTCAGCAGAAATTACTTCATAATACCTAAGAAGTCCTTGAAATTTAAAAGAAAAAAAAGCAGGGGGGAAGGGGAAAAAAAGGGAAGAAAATAAAAGGGGGAATCCCAATGTTTTCATTGACCTGTCTGCAGTGGTCAAAATGGAAAACAGTAGCTTTCCTAGAATCCTAGAATAGACAAAATCTATTCTATGTATATGAAGGAAAATGAAATGCTGGGACATCCTTCAGAAGCTCTTGGAGTCCTACTCTGGCGTAAGAGTGTACCTAAGCCCACTGGAGCCCTCTCTGTCTCCTCTAACAGTGGGGACAGGAGCTACAACATTTTGCTATCTCAGGCTAAAGACCACAAAGGCAATTGCTGCTCCCTCTGTCTGCTGAATGCTAAGAACTCTGTATGGAGACATTGGGTTGCTACCAAAGGTCTTGGCTGACTGAGGATGTGATTGTGTGGCCATTCCTCTCTCTAGAAGGCCCTGCTCACCATGTAATGCCACAGCTATGGGCTGGTGCAGGAAAGAGGACACGTAGGAGAGGACAGAGCTGTGCCAGCCTGGGCTGGTGCCCAGGGATGTGTGTGTGCAGCTGTGGCTCCATTTGCCTGAGCCACAAAAGGAGTTTTCAGGGTAGCAGCAGAGATTGGCTGTAGTGCTACAACAGAGGGAGCCTGCAGAGCAGATTGTGGCTAACACAGGGCATCTGGCAACGTTTACTGGAGAGAAAGGGGCTTCCACCACCCCTTTGTGCTCTGAACCACCCTACTTGGAGATAATGTGAATTTTACTGGCAATTGTATGTAGCAATCCAAATCCCAAATAAAATCCATAAGGAGTGTAGTCACTACAATGCCTAGCAAATCCATGGGTAGTGCAATACTTGATAGGGAGCTGCTTGTGCTCAAATTTTACCTTAGTGATGTTTTAGTAAATGCTTGTGAGACTGCTCTGAATCAGGGGCTGACAGAAGGCATAATTTCAGAGTCAGAAGATGAACATTTCAAAGAAGCACTCAGTACTTCTGCTGGTTTTCAACAGCTTAGATATTACTGAGTATGGGACAATATCTGAAGTCCAATCACTAATGTTCAAAAAAAAATTAGATGGCTGAGTGTAAACCAAGTGTCATTTAAAGCCCATTTAAGTGGCTGAATTTTAAATTAAATGTGTAATGAAAATGCTGAGAAGACCCTTAGTGCAACAAAGCTACTCAGTGCTGCTAGAACACAATTACTTCTGAATAGTTGTTTTTTGCAGAGCTTGGAATTCAGCAGGTTAAATTCAGCAATCAAGTAAATACATACATTTTAGAAGTGAAAATTGTTTTCATTTACTTTTTTAAGCTAACAGTAAAACTGGCAAACTATGGGTTTGCAAATTTAAACTGAGATTCTAACTTTCTGTAATTGTGAGCCAGTGACAAAATGCTTAGAATCAGAGTGAAATTCCAAAAACATCTAGTTTTGGTATAGTTCTGCTCTTTTGGAATGTAGTACCAAACAGTAGAATTATGTCAAATGTTCTTTTTATTTTCCTTATGCTTCATATAGTTGAAACAATTTTGTCAGCATCTCATTTTTAAAGTGGAATTTTTATATTTTCAGTAATTTTTCTTCATTTTATTCTCACAATTCTGGATACTTTTTGAATCTGTTTCTTTAAACCCCAATGTGCATTTCCCATGCCCTGTTTCTCTGGGAAAATATGAGAAAAATATCCAGAATTGTTTTCAAGTTATCTTACGTTTCCATTGACCACCCATCGAAAGAGGAAACATTTTAGTCTACTTTTACTCAATTCTTGAACAACATGCACCTTATTTTGCCTCTTGAAGTGAAGCCTTCAAGAGCAGTGATAATAACTGTGGGAAAGCAATTCTTGCTAACGAGTCAGGGTAATAATTGTCAGGCATATCAGTACTTTATGGTTCCTCTCTGAAACGTCTCCTCTCCTTGCTCCAGGTCATACCGTGCCATTGTGTTAAGCAGATTCCAAGGAGTATTTCTGTTTAATACAGCATGGTATGTCCTGGTACACTCACCCCCACACTCTTACTAAAAGATATTTACTCTTTATTTATAATTGTTTGAGTGTACAGAATTTTTCATAACTTATAGAGAAAAAGGCTCGTGATTGTGTTATATATTACATATTTGAAAACTATGCAATGTTTATCTATAAAAATGTAAAAAGGCACTACTGTATATTTTGTAATATAACTTTTCAATTGTTTGTAACTGTGTATACTGTGTATTATGGAGACTGTTGGCTCCATCAATAGGTTACTTAAAGATTGTTAGTAATGCAGAGACAGATTTCTTAAAGACGAAAAACAACTATAGACTTTCATAATATGGCTTAATGCACAAGGATATTGAACAATATGTTTCTAAAAGATTTGAATTTTCTGTAATGAGAAATTTTGGAAATATAATATTTCTAAAATACTTTTTTAAACTCTTAAACACTTTATCTTTTACCTCTTTCAAGGACAGTATATGTCTTTATATTTTGTCATGAATGTTCATCTTGTCTGTCCTCATGCATTGAATGTAAAAATAAAGAGAAGTTTAAAAGAATTATTTTCGTAACATCTATTTATAGAGGTGCAGAAAAATAAGTATTCAGACAAACTCTAGCCTGAGCTGACACAATGTGCAAGAAATGAGAAGGATTTTTAGCACTGAGAACTAAAGAAAAGCACCTATGTGTGCTTTTCCCTCTCATTCATTTTCATATGAATGAGAGATTTTTCATATGGAGAAAAATAAAAAATAATTGCTCGGTGCAACTGTGTGGGTCAAGGTATTTTCTGGCAGAGTGCTACAGACTGTCCTTAGTGAAGGCAAGCATGCAAGAGCAAAACCAATGCTATTGTGGCAACAGGATGCATGACAAGTCACCACAAATTATCTGTGTCACTGTACCAGGCTCAGATTCCTCCTGTATTCTCCAGCAAACAGAGTGTCTCTGCAATGCTCCTTATACCCTGTGGCCTGAGTGATGTCTGCCTTATAACTGGCAAAAATATCCATCTTACTCTTTTTTTTTTTAATCACACATGACCTTGTGTGATTGGAGCTTAAAGTTAGCCAGACAGAGAGAAATAAAAAGTGCTCTTTAAATGTGTTAAAGAGTTTTGAAAGTGTTATTAGGCTTCCTAATTATGAGCTCAATAGTAGCTGAGGAACCAGCCCCAAAAAGCACCTCTCATTGCCAATTACACCATGGTTTATTGAAAGGAAGATAGGAGAAATATTTCTTATAACACCAATATTTATACACTGAAGCATAAACTGGCTTCTTCTGTAAGTGCAGTAATCACCCTAGGCCCATAATTTAAAACTTAGAGCTTCTTACACTCATGCATAAATACTGTAATTTACCACCTTCCATGACTCTCTGTCTGTGGGGAATCAGAGCACACCCAGGACACAGGCACACGTTGTGCCACCCACCCCTCTGTTTCCAAACTGCCTGGGACAAAGTTCAGCAATGCCTATCACTATTTAACCAATACCAGTTAAGTCATGGAGCTCTGCACTCATCAGAAGCTTTCAAAATGTGCAAACAATGCTTCAGCTCATTGCCTGTTCTCTGTCCTCTTCCCCTCTGCTTGCAACTTCACCATGCTCTCCACAGCTCCTTTTGGTGCTCCTGTGCTTTTTTAGTCTCTGCTGAAGTGTCACATTCACTTCCCCCAGTTTCAAACTCTTTATAACACTGCACTGAACTGCACCAGATGAACTGTACCACTGTGCAGCGTTCTGGTCAGCCTGAAATGCTGCCTGAATGCTCCATCATCTCTACCTTCACCTCAGCCAGGCCCTTTGGACAGCCCTCACTGTGCCATTGGGAAAGGCTGTTCCCTGATTTACAGTAAATTATTTGGGGGTGCAGCTGGTGTGGTGCCACTGGCAGCAGCTGAACCCACACGCAATCAATAGCACAGGATCCCCTCAAGTCTTTTCAGAATAAAGAGTGAGCCTGTGAAGCACAAATCCACTGTTACAAGAACGGCATTAGCAAGGATACCACACAAGTACCAGAGAATGCCAGGCCACGTTCCTGTTGTGTCACTCAGAGGGCTGTGCTTCCATGCAGGCACTCTGTCTGCATTCAGAAGGTTTTCACTATCTAATGGCCACTCCTGGTGTTGCCACATGCCAGAGGCATGACACTGGCAGTATAAACCCACTCATGATATTTTTACAAAATATTTTTTGGATCTTACTCCCTTTGTGACAATTCTACCACAAAGAGCCATATGAGAGAATTGAGTTTTTCCTTTGCATATTTGATAGTAACCACACTGATTCAATGGAGTTGTCCCTAAGCAGGTCTCCCCTAACAGCTAAGATCTGACTGTTTCAAGAACACACCAAGGGAAGCAGAGCAAAGGCTAGAATTAAACTGTCACAAGCATTGTATCTTACTCAGCACCTGATGAAATTCCCTAATTGCCATTTACACTTTTGGTGTATGAATCTTTTTACATGGCTCAACGTCTAAGGACACATTACCATGACATAAACAACCAGGCTAATTACAGGAGCAGATCTTTTGCAACCAACACCACAGCTGATAGACTGGGTTTTTTTTACACAATGCAAAATGCATAAATTATAGGA